CTGAGCCAGCAACTTGCCATGCCACAATTCTTATCTTGCAACAGAGACTTATACCCTGAGGGAAATTTCCAGTCGTCTGCAAGGTCAATATTTGAAACTGCAAGGCTTTGGAAAACCAGGCCCTGTGAAGTACATATGCTTTATAGTATATTCCACACTTTATCATTAGTAAAACATTCCTTACAACAGACTTCATTTCTTATCATGACACCACATTAGGGATCACTGGCTTGAACAGCTTATAAATGTTTTTTTTCCTAGCCTCAAGGATCAAGAATCCTCTGATTTGTCCAAGGTCTGGGTAACTTCCTATTCTTAATTTAATAGTGAGAAATCATTTTCACTACCCAGATCCAAAGTTGTACCCAGAATTATCACAGGAATTTTAATATCCAGATTTTGAATGTGTAAACAATTTGTATAAACATCTTAAATAAGCATCTGATCATTTCTTTATCCCCAGATGACATCTCCAAACAGATGGACTGTTTCCAGCTACAATAATATCAAAGCCCAATTGTTCCTTTGAATGTTTTTGAATCTGTATTCCCATATTGAACAATAAAGTATCTTTCTGTAATTCAAACTGATTGAATGTAAAATACAAACTATGGTCATGCAAAAGAGAGAAAGCACAACATTCTTGGAGCCTTCCACCAGGCTGGAATTATGATTTTATAATCCAGATGTTTATCTCCCACAGAGATGCCTTTTATACAAACAAATTCATATAACAACGCACAAATCTTCCAGAATTGATATTGGTCCTCTCCTGAGTCAGTTCATACAACTGCTCTTGCTTCATCCCGCTCAAACAGAAACAAGCCAGCTTGAATTTTATGTCCCAAAAAGCAGCTTTGAATTATTAACTTCAAGGGGAAAATCAGTGCTGAGTTCTCATTTTTATTTTAGCAGCATTATATTTTTTTAAGTAGGTCTTTGGTCATTACTGTCAGTATAACTATTTCCCCTTAAGCAATTGTCAAAAACCTCAAATGGGCTTTATAACCAATTTAATTCCTGTATCCCCGCATATCAATGCAAAAAATTAAATCCAATTAAAAATTAACTCTTTATACATCGATGCAAACATTCATTCAAGTATGAAACAAATATCTAAATGTAACAGAATTTACAAACACAAGGCTATACTGTAAACCTCATCTTTCAAAATAGTTAAGTTACTTATTTGCCCAAAAGAGAAAGCTAAGTCCCTCAGGATAATGAATCCAGTCAAATGAGCCAGTTCTTTCAACACAACTTGACAGTTTAGGATTATTAGTGTCATGGCATCCAATGTTCTTTTTTTTTATTGGCTAAATATGTATTTTTTCTAACCAAAGCATCTGACATGAAAGTGCTATTCATATCTTTTCTTCCTCATGATCATCATGACAATCTTACGAAGAAAAAAAATCAGAGCAAGAGAGGGGTGCAGGGAGCCAGTGTAGCTAAGTAGTCAAGAGCTCTGGCTTTGGAGTCATCATTCCTGGGTACAAATGTTGGCTCTTCCACATTCTTCCTTTGTGACTCTGGGCAAGTGTCTCCCTGTCTCTCTGCTTTGTTTTTTTCTTACCTATAAAATGGGGATAATGATAGTACCTGCCTCCAAATGGGGTGGTTCCATGAGAGGATTTGGTGAAAAGTGCCTATGAAATACCTAGTCAGAGGCTGGCCCATAATAAACTCTCAGTAAATGTTAGCTACTGGCATTATTTTTCTTTTTATCATCATCACCATCATCATCTTTCTTTAAATGGTGATGTAAACATCATCATGTATAGTAATAAACATGGCAGTCACAAAGCCTATGATTTCAAAGATATTAATGCTTTCAACATGGTTCAAATCGGTAGCCCCAGGGTAATCCAGCTTAGCTGGATCACATGAATTATAGGTATATGTTCACTTAATACACAGGATATGGCAAAAATAGTGAAGATACAAATTCCTTATTGAGAATCACAATTTTCAGCAACATTTGTTGTAAAAATACCTATGAATATTTTGCGCTTTCCCCCTTGACCCAGAAAGCCACAGAATTGAATCTTTCTATGTAAGAAGTAGCAATTATGGGGAAAATCGCACTGGACTGGGGTGTAGGAAACTTGAAGCCCTGGTTCTGCCACTGGCTGTCACTGTATGATTCTGGAAGAGCCCCTTCCTCTCTTTGAACCTTTACTCCAACTTCTGATATGTCCTCTCCCTGCTGCAAAGAGAATGAGATGATGTGCTGGTCAATCCTTTGCAAATAGTAAAGCACTGGTAAGAATGCAAGGAGTTGGGGACACATTCATCCACGTAAAGGTCTGCGTGTTATTTGCAGTTACACTTGTGAGGAAAAGTTAACATACGTGTTTTCTTTCTTCTCTATTTACAATCTGTTACCCGTATTTTGATTTGTCTCAGGCTGAAGAAAAGAAAGTTCCTGAGAAAACTCTTCAGACCCCACTTCTGCCTTCCCCTGTGGCGGATCACGTGAAGTGTAACATTTTGAAAGCCCAGTTGGAGAATGCTTCCCGAGGGAATGTCCAGGTGCGTGGAGCAGGTGCATTCCTGTGATTTCATGTTACAGGATTTCCCGAATGCAGAAAGAAAGAGGCATCCAAGGACAGAGATGCTGTGTCAGTCAGGGTCCAGGCAGGAGATAAGAACCACACCTGGAGTGCAAACCGAGATTGTATTACAAAGAATGATTAATTGGTGTATGTTCTTTTGTATCCTTTTTTTTCTTCTGGTGGCTGACCAGTATGGGGATTTGAACTCTTGACCTTGCTGTTATCAGCACCATGCTCTACTGAGTGAGCTAATCAGCTAGTCGAGGTATACAGTTCTTAATTAGCTATGTGAAAGGGCAAGAAGAGAACTCAAAGGCAGCAGTTCTCAAATGTCAGTGTGCACAAGAGTCACCTGGAGATCTGGGCCCCATCCCCAGAGACTCAGTAAATTGGGGTGGGGGCTCAAGAATCTGCATTTCTCAGGAGCTCCCAGGATGACACATTGAGTCACACACTCTAAGGTACCAGAGGTAGCAAATGCAGGCAGCTCTTTCCATCCTTGCAGCTGAAGAAATAAACATGCTGTAAATATGAAAACTTAGACTCTTAAAGGAGGAGCCCCAGGGAAATGAAACTCAGACTTCTGAGCAGGGGTCCCTGTGGCCAGTGCTGGTGTCTCTGAGCTTAGAGGATGAGCCCCAAGGGCCAGACCCAGACTCTGAGGAGGGGGCACCAGCCGGCTGGTGCTGATATGTCTGAGGTGAACGCCATAAAGTTGGATCTGCCAGTGGTAGAAACTGCAACCAGATTCAGCTGCAGCTACAGGAGGAACTGCCGCTGCCGGGGTGAAGAAGCGAGAAGGCTGGGCTGATGTGCAAGAGCAGGAGGCAGACAGGAAGGAGCAAGCCCCTCCCCACTAGCGCCCCCTATTAACAGAACCTGTCATAGAGCCAGCTGGCAAAGCAGAAACGGGGTTTGCAGGCTCCCAGCCCCAGATCCACCAAGTAGAAGGTTCAAAGAGTAGGTTTGGAGATGAGATGATGATTTAACAAAAATTCCCCCATAAATTCCCCCACTCGTGCTCATAACAGATATCACTGCTTGACCACTACACTCTTTCTCTCTGACCCTAAATGCAGCCTCAGAATCATTTTCTACATGGTGTGCCAAGGAGACACCACCAGTTAATGAGAGTTGGAACTCAAGTAGAAACCCGTTTGCAATCCTGCCCTGGACACATATTAAAAGCTACAGTTGTCCATGATTTCATTAGAGAAATATTTAACTTTGCCAAGGATAAAGTAAATATTAAGTGATCTCTTATATTATTATTTCCATTTTCTGTATATAGCAATCTGAATAATTTAGGTCTTTCCAGAGCATACCATGAAAGACAAGAGAAAGTTTACAAATTTTTTCCATTTTGAGGTTGTGATGTAAACAGGAAGCAGTAAAGTATAGAACACAAGTTTTTTTTTTTTTTTTTGTCTTTTTCCGTGTCCGGCAACGGATCGCAACCCTCAGTGCCCCCCCTCAGGATCGCAACCCTCGGCGTTGCTCCCGCGCCTCACTCAGCCAGTGAGCGGGAACCGGTCTGTATGTGGGATCCGAACCCTCGGGCGGGAGCGCCGCTGCACTTCCCAAGCGGCGCACTATCCAGTGTGCCACCGGGCCGGCCCTAGAACACAAGTTTTAAAGTCAGATCATCTGGGTGTAAATCTTGATCTACCATCGGGAGCGCCGCCGCACTTCCCAAGCGGCGCACTATCCAGTGTGCCACCAGGCCGGCCCTAGAACACAAGTTTTAAAGTCAGATCATCTGGGTGTAAATCTTGATCTACCACTGATCACCTTAATCTTGTTTGTCATCCTCCCTGAGGCACAGTTTTCTCACATTTTGTAAAA